ACCATTTTAAATTCTCAAGTTCACCCCTGCCTAGCATACAAGGTCGAAGTAGGCGTTGTTTTTCTGACACGAATAAACTTCCCCCTCCCAAATATTAACTTCTTATTTGAGACATTTTTTCAGATAAAAAAACCACCCTGTATATAAGTATTTAGTTTTCTGGCATTCTGTAACAAATCTTTAAAAAAATATATTTCTCTCACGAATCTTAACTCGGGAGTTATATGCCTATAGCCAGCAAACTAAGCAGAATGTACACTTGCATATAAGGTATAAGCAAACTAAGAGTCAAAGACATAAATTCCATCACAGCACCTGCATTTAAGCAAACTGGGCATTTTTAAATATAAATTCAGTCAGAGATGAACTGAAAGTTATTTGAATAGTAATACACGTTGTAAGAGAGACATATTTTTTTAAATTATTTTTTGGTGGTACCAAAATAAACTCGAGTAATACTTCGTCCAGGTTTGCCATACACGCATTTCCGTTTGTTGTTATTGTGGATTATTTAATGTTATTGTAAAACAAAATGAGAGAGATTATTTTCTAGAGCGGGTATCATAAACGAGTAAAGGACTCAGTAAAACGCATCTGCGAAAAAAATTATTGTTAAATGTTAATTCATTTTTAAATTAAAATGAGGTTTTCAAACATTTTCGCATATAAACCGTATATTTTATTTAATCACTCTAGTTTTTTATATTTTTTTTGTTCTTTAAGTAGTTACTTCTACGATGTTTTGTTTTTGATTTTGGAATATTTTATTTGAAGTTTACCAATGTTAAGTTATTTTGAAACCTATTACCAAAGTGAAACTACAACGTTGTAACCTGTTCCAGAAAAATTACCTGAAAAATTTATCACACCTGATTACAAAATTAAACTTCTTACTTTCCCTTAACAAATTTGAAAAACGCCTTAACTTTTGTTCGTGAGTTTTAGATAAAATTGCAGACAACAAAAACTTTTTGTTAAAGTTTAGTTTTTTGACGAGTGCGATTTTCACAATAATGGATGTGTCAATAGACGCAATTTCCATTATTACTCGGGTTCAAATTCACACAAATTTAGAATCATCCAAAATCTGCACAAGTGGTCAAAAAATGCGCGAGGCCGAATAATAAAAGGCATTTGAATGAGAAAGAGATTGCGTTAGACATTACAGCGATGGATTCAATTGGATGGAGCGCCAGCACATTTTTATCACAAGGTACCGCCATGTAACACCGCTGGATGGAAAGAAGCGATTGACCAAACTGGCCTCTGGGATCACCAGATTTGACCGGATTTTTTTGTGGAGATATGTAAAAAGAGTAGTCTATAACACAGCCCCAACAACACCAGAAAATATGAAGGAGATGATGACAGAAGCTTTTCGAAATATAAGGACTGATATCTTGTCAAATGAATGAAAAAGAAAAAATGAATTAAAGGAAAAAAAATGAACACAATTTGGAAACACGCTGTATATTTCAATCTAATTTTCATTAATTTGTCCAACAAATGCATCTATTGATATACAGGGTGATTCAAAATTGGCATCATTCCTTTTAAGAGGTGATAGAGGCTCCCTTGGGGAGAACGAGAAAAATATAGAATTTGTTTTTTTTATTTCTAGAAGATATTAACAGTTGAAGATCAAATTTCAACTTTGTTACTAAGCATTATTTTGAAATTGTTCCATGTTTAATTGGTAGCATATTGGAATACTTAAGCATTCAAATAGAAAAATTTCGACCTTTGCTTCAAATTACGAAAACTTTTAATATCAAAAGTTCTCTTCTACAAATTTTTGACGAAAAGGCACAGCGGCAATGATGTTTTTTCTCATTAGCAGATAGTTACAGGTGGATAGCCCTTGTCAATAATAACAATAATTTGTCAAACTGTGACTTACTTTGCATTTCCTTTCACGAATTGGCGGATATGCGATTAGTTCAGGGGAAATGCTACAGTAAAATGGCAGAAGCTGAAAGAACTCACGCCAACAAAGGGCGAGGAGAGTGGTTCCTGGGAGATAGTGGATGATAGATGTTCGGGTTCCAGGCACAGAGGAACACGTATTGGAC